CTTCATATTTTCCCACATTATACTTGTTATGAACCAGTCCAGACCCCCTCAAAATATTTTAAGAAGATAGGCTAGATTCTAACTTCTTCTTAAACGTAGATGTGAAGTGGGCGCTCCAGATGTGTTGCACCTGGTCAAACCAATCAACGTTAAGCAAAACACAATTTGTTTGAACACTGTAGTTAAAATACAAACAGAAGAAAGAGGGATTTAGAATAACTTACTAGTGGAAAAATTAACCGAATAATAGATACAGTACCTATTACTAATTAACTGTTCCATATAGTAACATCCCATAAACACACCCCTTGGTAAAAAGCGAAATTCAGACACAGATTCTTATGTGCAGTTTCCCAATCCAGGAGGGAACAACATCAGGAGAGATTTCAGAGAAAGTTACAGTTTGGAATCATTTACTGAAGCTTGCAACCATTTTGGGACCCAAGCAACTTCCAACTGCTACAGCTAAAAAAGCTAGAAAGCCTGATCTGGGAGAACTGGCCACTCCCCTTCCATTGTCACAACTGTTTCTAAAAAAAACCTAAAGGTCTTTTAAATTATTGACTTAGGCTAACTCCATTAGATGTTTCGGTATCTCTGTCATCGCAGGGCAAAATAACCATTTTAAAGTGACAGCATTGTCACATAGTCCCTTTGCTAACGTATTGCCCACTTTCTTAACCTATCAACATCTCTCTGTAAGCATGTTGTATCTTTCCTGGAAATAGCCTTTCTACCACTTATCTGATTTTGACCCTCCCTCCACTTTTCTGTTGGTAACATTCCCCCGACTCCACTCCCCCAACTAGCCCACTCCCTCATACCCTTTAACTCACTTGTGGAACAAAGAACTGATGAAATGAGCCTTGAGAATGATCAATGACCCAGCCTCCATGAGGGTCTTGGATAGAAAATCCAGAGATAAATGGCCTTCTGGGAGAAGAGGTTCATCCTCATCTCCATCTAAATTGCGTGACCCCTTATCTTTATGTCTGCTTGTTTAATTTCTCCATCTAGGAAACATGATCTCAGCATCTGTGGTGTTATCCCAGATGACCATTCCTGGTACATTTTGGGATTTGCCACCTCTCCCAGTATGTAGAAACCTGAGTAAGGGTTGTATGAGGTCATTGTCAACAACCAATCCTCCTTCACTTTTGCTTAGTCTTGGGCCTATCTAGTGATTAATTGAAAAGAACACACCACCATAGTATCTCTGCAGAAGAGGCACTGTTCTTGGATAATAAGATTTGTTGCATGATGGCAGTAAGTTCAACAGCATTCAGTCAAACATAATTAATAAGACCTTGTGGAGTTGATACATATACATCTGCTCCAACTGGAAGCTGGAATGGAATTTCCTGACTCCACCCGCAGATTGTGACTCCATCAGAATGGATAGAGCCAGCATAATTTAAACTTTAAGCTCTTCAGAAGCATACCTTCTCTGATAGCATCTATCCTGTCAACCACCTTCAGAATCTCAGTGTTTCAATAAGATCACCTCACGTTTTTTGAACTCTAAAAGCCAGTGAATTATGAATCATCATTACTATGCTGGATAATTTCAACCACTCCTTCGTTAGTTTCACAAATACGGCATCATAGGTGACTTTCCGAAGGTTTTCATGAAGTTGAAACAGAAAGTTTTGGAAAAGCTCAGCAGGTCTGGCAGCAGAGACAAAGCAGAGTTGACATTTCGAGTCTAGTGACCCTTCTTCAGAACTGTTCAGGCTCGAAACATTAACTCTATTTCTGTCTCCACAGATGCTGCCAGACCTGCTGAGCTTCTCCAGAAACTTCTGTTTTCATTTCAGATTTCCAGCACCTGCAGTTTGTAGAATCCCGACAATGTGGAAGCAGGCCATTTAGCCCATCGAGTCCACAGTGCCAGTATGAAGGCTATCCCACCCAGACTCCCCCCCACCACCACCCCCCTCCCCCCGCTCCTATCATATCCCTGCATTTCCCATGTCTAATCCACCCAGCCTGCACATCCCTGGACACTGGGCAATTTGGTATGGCCAATCCAACTAACCTGCACATCTTTGGACTGTGGATAGTCTTTGTTTATTTTCATGAAGTTGCCTAAGTTCCACATTAACTTGCCATTAAACTCATTAATAGGAGGTAACTTTAGCAATTTTCGGTATATGTATGTTATTACTAACTTGAAACTTAACAATATTAGTCTCTGCTGCCCAGATCTGTGGAATTTTATTCCTTTAGCTTGCAAATTCATTGAGTTGATTTTAAAAGTATCTAATTCTAACTTTTTGCTTACTTGTTTATTTTTTCTTTGTCATTTCTTCTTTGTTTTACTCCAAACTTTCTCCTCTCTGTTCAGGTCACTTGCTGCACCAGACCTGACGTTTCATTTCCCAACTCTGATTCACCTCTGTCTGAACCATTCCCTGTTTGTTTCTCAATCGTTAAATTGTACTCAAGAATGCGCTGTTTGTCCTGTTGCTCACTGAGGTCACCTTTTGAAGGTTACTGAAATGCTGAGGAATATACATCGAGGGGATAAAAGACTTGTTGAGGGGTCTGTAGCTGGAGGAATAGGTTTATGATAAAAGCTACGAGGATTAGATGGAATTCAAGGGGAGATTGCTTTCACAGAGGGAGGTACTCACTGCCTAAAAGCATATATAAGCACAAGAATTCAAACTGCAAAAGACAGTTGGTAAAGTGCCATCATCTACAAGGCTACAAAGCAAGAGTGAGAGAGTGGGATTCAGCAGGGTGGCTGCTCGTTCCCAGCACAAACACATGAGGGGCCAAGTGGCCTCCTTCCATGCTGTAAATTTGTATTGATTCTTTGATTTCTAAGCTGCATTGCCCTCAATATGCCTTGATGCCTTGAACCTCTCGAAATTTAGTGGTCCTTTTTTTTAAGTAAGAACATCAAGTATATCTGTGAACGTGATATATAAAGAAAGGGGCCCCTTACGGGCAAGATGCCACATTCTTCCTCAGGATGACCCTGTGTCTAACTGGGACTGGGCAATGTATACACAATGCATTCTTTGTCCCTGTGTCTCTTTGTCTCAATGCATTCATTGCCTGCTTCTGGAGAAACTAGAAGTGCCTTTCAATCAGATTGGTCTCAGTCTATTTGCAAGACAATTGTTTGGAACATTAAACACAAAGCGGAAAATGAAGGTTCAGAACTGGGCTTGATAGCTTCAGGGCTTGATGGCAACGATACAGTACCATCAAATGTTTCTGCATCCCAAGTCAACTCTGGTGTCTAAAGATAGATGGCTCTTCTGGCTATGCTCATTTGTATTCCAATTCGTGGGAAGTTAGTCAGGCTGCCACAGGGGTACACATTTGCTATATTTTCCTTTCTTAAGCAGAGAGAAATCTCATGCACTTTGCATTGCAAGCATAGCTCCCTGTCTTGTTATAAATAATAACATCTCCTGAATTTTGACCACAGTGTGATGTGTTTGGCTTTGTACAGATGGTCCTGCTCCAGGCCATATCCTTGGATTTGAGACGTTATCAGAAACAAACTCTTCATTATATTCCATGAGAGAATTTGATCAATGTATTTTCTATAGTTCAGAAACAGTCAACGATACTTCCCTCATTGCTATTAATAGAATAGTTGAAGTGGAAGGGAATGTGAGAACTACTGTGTGATTTTTGGTGCTGATCTTTGTTTTAGATTACTCTTAATTAAAAAAGAAGTGAAAGGACCGTGGATGCTGGAAATCAGAAACAAAACAGAAATTGCCGGACTGAATTACAGAACTAAAGAATGGTCACTGGACCCCAAATGTTAACTCTGACTTCTCATATGCTGCCAAACCTGCTGAGTTTTTCCAGCAATTTTAGTTTTTGTACTGTTAACCTAAGCCTGTTTATGTATAAAGTTAAAATTCACATACTGATATGAAATGACTCACAGTGTTCAGAATCAGGTATTATCAACCTGTATGGTAACAGTGATGGCGACAGTCCAAACCGATACAGACTCATGAAATTTAAATTGGACAAGCAAGTCACTCAGGACAAATTGGATTGACATGGCTCATAGACACTTAAAGTCAATGAGTCATCATCTGGGCCTCCTGGTTTAACGTCCGAGTTTTGTTCAGCTCATAGTTTTCTTCGTTCCTGAATCGGAAGGTTGTTGGTTCAAACCCCCTGCTCATTCCACTTAACCTCAATCAGGCTTGTTCAACAGATGTCCCTCAAAGAGGCCTAACTGGCCCATGGCTGCACTTCCAAATGCAGGAATTAAAAGTCCGAGAGTCTGTGAGGAGGTGCTATTCATGTCAGAGGCTGTTTCTCTTCAACGTTCGTAATAGACATGCAGCCTGTGATTGGAGGAGCCGTGAGTTGGACACACATCGGGATCATCATTTAGTCTGAGGCATGTGCACCAGAATAAGTGGCAGCAGAGGCTAAATTGCCATGAGCAACAGTGAAAGTAGTGTTGATGACTGTTTTTCATGGGTTTAGTACTTTAGTTACGGAGGAGATCCAGAATATTACGTCAGCAGCTCTGCAGAGAGCTCAGTCAAGCTTCGAGAGAGGGCAATGTTTAATTTATAAGTCACAGCTCTCTTTTTGAAACCTCTTCAAATTCCATGTCATGAGATGAACTTTTCATACTCCTTCAAGGAGCTCTGTTGTTACCAGATAGATTGCAACTGGAGAATTTTACTCAGTGACCTGTCTGCCAACTGCACACAGTAACCTTGATGTCCTCAACTGGTAGCAGAAACCTGTAAGTCCAAATATTTAAAACATTCATCAAATCTCCTTTTGTCCATGATATTATCAAGGCATTATCTTAGTGGAACAGATCAGTGAACGTGTGTGCTAATATAGTAGGGATATATTCTGTGCAGACATGTTAATTGTCACACTGTTTTTGTAATATGGTCCTACTGCTGCTCTGCAGTGTTCTGGTTAACCTTAAACCAGGCCTTGGTAAATCAATGTTGTAATTGCGATTTCTTTTGTCTTTTTTCTCTTTCAAGCCTGCAGCCTGAAGGAGCCGAGGTAATCTTGAGTCCCGAGGTGACCTGTGGGCCACCAGGTCTGGCCTTGTCCAGCCCGATTGCTCTGACTATTCCTCACTGCGCAATGGTATGTTCAGAGCACTGGAGCATAAAGCTGAAGAGACAGACACTGACAGGAAAGTGGGAGGTAAGTTTGGATCAGCTTATTGATTGCGTGCAATGGCCAGATTTGCATATTTGCATTCATTCTGGGTCCCTCTGGCCCAGCTCCAGCAGAGTTACTGAAATAGGTTTTCAAAAAAAAAATTATCCCCGCTGCCTCAACTGTGCCTGCGGCATGATGGTGGGGGATCATCATGCTGCCAAGACATCCAGACATAGCCAGCCTCCAGTGAATCTCTGTGTGATATGGCGGAAAATAGTTTTATTGTTGAACCTCAGGTCAGATACAGTGCATCACTTAAAAGAGTGAGAGATTGAAAGGTTTGGTGATCTGAAGTGATTTGATGAGGACAGTCTGACATTTACAAGAAAAAGATAAACAAGAGTTGTATTATTTTGTTTGTGTGTACAATTTGCTGGTATGCGTGTTGAATGAAGAGATGTGCTGCAATATGTATGTAGGACGAAAGCAGATTTTGGACAGTATGTTTCATAGTTATTTTAATGTTAATGCTTATTGGTGTTCATGAAATTACTCAGCAGCAACTGAAGAATACTTTCAATGATTTGGAAAATTGGATTGAACGATGCATCACAAATGTTAAGTTGAAGCAGAGAAATTTTAACTATATTCTGTTAAAACATATTGAATTACCCTTTCTAATGCAAATTAGTTTTGCTTCCATCATATGCACATCCAAAGTTATTAAACTTTGAAGTTTCTCAAGGACTTAAACATCCTGTGTGAATATAATCTTATATATATGTGTGGTGTTGTTACAGGCACACTTGCATGTATATCTGGCATGTTGTGTATATATCTTGTGTTGTGTTTTCATCCATTTCTCTGTTTTGAAATCTCTTTGTCTCAGTATCTATTTGTGTATCACTCGCTGCAGTTCTATCTCTGCTGAAGGCCCAGTCCAATCCCACGGGGAGGCATGGTATTATTGCTGGACTGTTAATCCAGAGACTCAGATAATGTTCTGGAAACCTTGGTCGGAATCTTGTCATAGCAGATGGTGGAATTTGAATTCCAAATAAAAATCTGGGGAATTAAGAGTCTAATGATGACCATGAATCGATTGTCGTGAAAAGCCCGTCTGGTTCACTGATGTCCTTTGGGGAAAGAAACTGCCATCCTTACCTGGTCTGACCTACATGTGATTCCAGACCCACAGCAATGTGGTTAACAATTCATTCCCGTGAATGAATAAAAAAAAGTTTGGGGATGGCGGATTGTTGTTGTACGTTTATATTTGCCAATGCAGTAATCTATGTCATTTTGCAAAGTCAGCTTCCTTCATACTCTGACCTTAGCACAGGTGTATGCAGTCCTGAAGAAGTCATACTGGACTCAAAACGTTAATTCTGTTTCTTTCTCCACAGATGTTGCTAGCCCTGCTGATGTACTCCAGCATTTTTTTGTGTTTGTCTGCACTGTGTTTGTTCAGCCAGAAGGATACAGAACAATAGAGTCATAGAGATATACAGCATTGAAACAGACCCTTCGGTCCAACTCAACCATACCAACCAGATATCCCACACTAACCAAGTCTTATTTGCCAGCATTTGGCCCATGTCCCTCTAAATCCTTCCTTTTCATCTACCCATCTAGATGCCTTTTAAATGTTGTAATTGTACTAGCCTTCACCACTTCCTCTGGCAGTTCATTCCATACATGCACCACGCTTCTGCGAGAACAAGTTTCCCCTTAGGTCCCTTTTAAATCTTGCCCCTCTCACCTTAAACCTATGCCCTCTAGTTTTGGACTCCCCCTTCCTGGGGAAAAGACTTTGACTGTCCACCCTAACCATGCCCCTCATGATTTTATAAATTTCTATAAGACCATCCTTCAACTTCATACACTCCAGAGAAAATAGTATCGGCCTGTTCAGCTTCTTACTAAAGCTCCAAACCTCCAACCCTGACAACATCCTTGTATATCTTTTCTGATGCCTTTCAAGTTTCAATACATCTTTCCTATAGCTGGGAGACCAGAATTGAAGGCAGTATTCCAAAAGTGGCCTCACCAATGTCCTGTACAGCCACACCATGACATCCCAACTCCTATACTCAGTGTACTGACTAATAAAGGCAAGTATAGCAAATGCCTTCTTCATGATCCTATGACTCGACTTTCAAGGAACTGTGAACCTATACTTCAAGGTCTCTTTGTTCAGCAGCAGTCCCCAGAACCTTACCATTACCTGCCCTGATTTGCCCTACCAAAATATAGCACCTCACATTGAAAGGAAATTTTAATAAAGAGTACTTTAATTGATAGAGCTGCCTAAAAATAAATAGCCAGTTATCAGAAAAAGTTGAGTAAGTCTTTACAAATTGGATTTTGTAAGCATTTACTAAGGCACAGAAGGGCAATCAAAGAACTCATTTCACTACAACTGTAAAAAGCCCCAGAAAGAACACACTTGGAGTTGGATGTTCACTTCTGGGAGTCAGACCTTAGAATGGACTTATCAGTGTTGGACGGATTGCAGTGCCATCTGGCCATCTTAGCTGCATAACCCTGAACGCCTGGCACTTAAATGTTGTCTTAAGGATGAACAACTCAGAGTAGGAGACAGCATCAGAAACAGATTTAAAAACAATGAATGTGAACACAGGAGCAGCAGAACTGCAATTTGTCATGTTATAGTGTGAGGGAGCTCTTGCTTTCCATTCAAACTTAGAAACATTTGAGAAATAGATGTCTCGGAAATGAATAGATTTGCCTGATGCCAGTTCGAACCAACTCATCATCTCATAGCTGGAACCTGTTTCCATGCAAAAGGGTGTTTTTACCTCAATGTAAATACAGAAAGATATTGGGAAACTTATTTCTTTGATGTGCTTTCCCTATAACAGATTATGTAGGCAAGTGGATAATATGGAGAAATACACTACACAGCAACCTGTCTGAGCTGGTGGAAATTTTGCTTTTCAATCAGAGGTTCAAGCTCCCAGTCCCAGATTTGAACATCACTCCACTCTTGCAATCCCCTTGACCTTCTTAATCTCACCAGTTTCTGTCCACATCCCCTGGAGTAATCTTCCCCCAAGTAACATATAATACATGTATAAAACCTCAGACTGATAAACTCCCGGTCTTCTAAACACTGCAGTTTTTTTTCAGTTGTTGGATCACATGGAACAGATAGGATGAAGGATTGCTGTATCTGAACCTTATGGAATATAACTTTTAAAAGTTCTGTCCAATATGGGCTGCTTTGTTGACCAGTGAGACACAAAACTTCAAATGGTGACTGTCATGACTAGACTTTACTCAACCTTTAATTTCAACCTCATTAAAACTTCTGCTTCAGAGCCATTATTTAAGATGGTTATCAATCTTGACACCAATCTAAAACTCATTGTGATATCAAGTTTCGTGTGTTAATGCACAGATTGCAAAATGGATTTTCTGCTTGCACTATCTGTTGAAGTCTTTTGCTCACAACACACTAAAGTACTCTCAGTGTGGTAATTCCTGTGGTCCCTTTATGAATAACTGTCCCTTATTGCTGCAGCTTTTTTCTATTTGCATTAATTGGCTTTACAAGTGTGTTTGTCTTTGTGTTCTGCAAGAAAATTGCATGCAATCATCAGACCTTCATTAACAGTAACAAAGACAGCTTTTTAACACCTTCAACTTGGGGTGAAATGCGTGCAGTCATTGTGCTGCTCTGATTTGTCACTGCTTCCTCTTCACTGTTTCTTTGCCTTGCTCCTGTTTTTCTCCTTTTAATAATTTCAGTAGTCTCTTGGTTATATATTGAGTGATTCACTTGTTTGGACACATTTCTTTGCATCCAAAAATGCAGTAACCACAACATTTACATAGCACCTTTACCATTCTAAAATGTCCCAATCTGCTTCACAGGAGCCTTATCAAATAAAATTTGACAATGAGTTAAAGAAGGAGATGTTAAGACAATGCCATCAGTTTGGATAAGAAGGTTGTTTATAAGGACTATCTTCAATGAAGAAAGAGAATTAGAGAAATTCGAGGAGGGAATTTCAGAATTTAGGGCCCAGATTACAGAATATACAACGAACAGTGATGGGGATGGAGAAAATGGAGGTAGCACAATGTGCCAGAAATTAATGAGTGCAGACCCCATAGGAAGTTGCAGATTGCAATGTCAAATGGCATTATGTTAAATCATAGAAGCTTACAGCATAGAAGGATGCCATTCGGTCCATTTTGCCCATGCTTGCAGTTCCTGAGAGCTATCCAATTCATCTTGCTGGCAGCATTTACCCCGTAGCCATTCAAACTTCCACTCATTTACGATGATTGCTTTACTGCTGATGGGAATTAATTCAAAACCATGAGAACTGAAGTCTTTACATTGTAATGCATTGAGGCAATAAAAAATTCTGGTATTCAGTTCCAGTTTGAGGGCAGCACCTGATAATCCTGCTGCCTGTGCGCTAACTCTCACCAAGTCTCATCCATCCACCCATCCATCTCTGCGTTTGTTAACCTGCACTGGTTCTTGATTAAGCAATGCCTTGCTTTTAAGATTTCTACCCTTGCTTTCAAATCCTTTTGTGGTGTTACTTCTCCCCACCTCTGTTACCTCCTTCACCCCTACATTCCTCTACGCTTCCCCAGTCCTGTAACCTAACTCTTTGCCAATTGTCAAAGATACCACCAATGATGTCCATGTTTTTAATTGCCAAGACCTTATGAGTTCCCTTTCTCCTTCATCATATCCTTCAAAGTCCGAAGATGGACAGGTTAGATGGATTGGCAGTGATAAATTACCTATCGTGTCCAGGGATATGCAGGCTAGGTGGATTAACATTGGGAAATGCAGCGTCACAGGGATAGGATAGAGGGGTGGTTCTAGGTGGATGCCCTTCAGAGGGTCGGTGTGAACTTGATGGGCCAAATGGCCTGCTTCCATGTTGTCAGGATTCTATGATTTAAGATACTCCTTAAAACTCTTTGTCCACTGCAGTCTTTTGGGCAGCTCTCCTCATGCAACTTTTGTTTGAAAACATTTGAAATCTACTCCAAAACCTTAGTGAAAACATTTCTCTGAAATGCCTTGGGGGTTTCACTTTCTTAAGATGAGCCATTAAACTCAGATACTTTGGACTGGATCCGTTGTTCCATAGAGAAAGTGATAAGACATCTTGACAGGTACATGGATAGGAAAAATTCAGAGGGATATAGGCCAAATGCAGGCAAATGGGACTAATTCAGTTCAGGGAGCCTGGTCAGCACAGACAAGTTGGACCGAAGGGCCTGTTTCCATGCTGGATAATTCTATGACTCTATGTTCCCTCTCTGGAAGCAGCTGCTACACAGGAACCTTGGTTGTCAGCACAGATGGAAAACAAAAATTGCCTGGAATGCTGACTGGAACTGAACAGTTGCCAACTGTCCTCTCAGCTGGGCTTTGTAGAAAATGTCTTTCATTCACCAACAGAAGAGCCTGTTTACATCCATAAAACCGGGGATCTAGTGAAACAGTGGTGGTGTCCCTACCTCTGGGCCAGGAGGACTCATTCAGTTCGAGTCCCATCTGCTCCAGAAATTGTGTCATTACACATCAGAACAGGTTGTTTTAAAATAATCTACATCCATTAAACTAGCCAACAGTGAGGCATGATTAAAATAGCATTGTGTGTCTGCTGCCCTTCCAACAGCACAGATGCAGTTGTACTGTCAGCAACGATGCTCATCAGGAAATATGTTAAACTGAAGCACGGCTAACTTGTTTTCCATATCAAAAGAAGGTATACAGCTTTATGCGACCACCACAAGAGCTGAGGAAATAGTGATGACTTCAGCAACCTACACTTAATTCAGCCCATGGCTACAGACCTGAAGGACACAGGTTTAAAGTAAACAAGCCACCTCTTGCTTGACACCTTAAAAAAGGAGCTAAGTATCGGAGAGGATTACAAGAATACATATGACCAAA